TAAGTAATTTTTACGTCTTATATTGACTGATAATTCTATTTATTTTTCTAATATTTAATAATTATATAATAATTATATTATTTAATCATATTATAATTATTATTATAGGTCAAAGCTTACATCAAATTATGTGAATGACATATTAGATATGGAAACGTAAAAATTATTTGACAATAAGATATTTTTAATTTTATCAATTATAATATGGTAATAACAACATTTTTTTTATAATTAAATTTAAAACAATATTAAATAGTACTTTGTTCTTTTATTAGTAAATAAAGTCAAATATATGTGCAATACGACATAGATTTCTGTGTAAAACAAATTGGTGTATAAAATACACCGCCCGTGTAATTATTGAAAAAAAAAATGGCGCGTGTAGCTAAGGGTTAAAAGTGTACATGAAATTTCATGTACTATACAGAAGCATAAGCAATATGAAATTTAGATTCACGTGAGAATTTCTTAATACATATAACTCGAGATTTCAATTTTAAATTTAAGACACTATTTTAAAAATAATTTCGCAAGACCCAAGTTTTGCAGATAAAAAAGAAATATACATTTACATCGGGTCATTACAGGAACACAATGTATACGAAACCAATGTCTGATGAATATATTTGTATACCTACTTCAAATTTATTATATTCATTGAATTCATTAAATTGATTTAAAATAAAATGCAATTTTTACATCCGAAAATCATTTTATTTACCTATTTATATATTTTGAAGTAACATTCGACGCAATTCAAATTCGTACTTTTATTACTCAACTAATGGTTGGTAATTTTTACTAAGGAAAATTCGAAACCAACAGCAAATACGTACATCGCGTGTCATATGTATGGTGTAGAGCACTAGTGCCGTAGCTATACCGAACAAATAACGACCATTTCTCGAAATCATTTTGATGATGTTGCCTGAAAACATTCCTTTTTCGACCGGACGTAACACGTTAGTCGGAAAATATTTATAGCAACGGAACATTTTAAGAAAACCATCACGTTGGTCCGGTCGGGTTGAATGAGAAACGACGTCTAAACACACTAGATACGAAGTTCAACGCACGCGCATAAAAGCTTGAAATTTTATTTATTTTTTTTTAAAGCTTCAAATACAACGGGAGTGGAGTTCTGAAAAATCGATTCGGCGTCGCGTCAAAACGTCGACTTTCGGAATAACCACCATTACGACGAAACGATGACATGCCGTGCAACAAGCATTTGTTGCAAACTACTGTAACAAACAAATCATAAAAACACTACCCTTAAGTCGCACATTAATCAAGCTAGAATTTAACCGCACGACAGTTCCAAAGACGTAAGATGACTCAAAGTCTAAAACCCTAAGGTTTTTGGATAAGTGTCACGAACATAGTTCTGGAAATTCATTGTCACACGTGTACATCAATAGGCATGTAGTTCATTTGTTTATTGCACGTAAAGTGCGATTTATATTATGATTTTGATTTGAGATACTGCACACGAATATGTACGGAAAAAACGAACTCGAAGTCGGATGAAAACTGTTGGTCCTGTTAAGTAGGTAAAAAATAACTGGAATAATACGAGTACACCAAGGTTTATAGAACGGATGATAAACATTTAAAGTTTGGTTAAGTTTTTTTAGATGCTCAAAAACTCTTACTAGGAAACATTTTTAAACTTTATACGATGAAGAAATTATAATAAATCTGTGAACCATAACAATCTTTCATTTATTTCCTAAGTTTAAAATTTAAAAATTGAGTTTTTTCTTTTTTAAAAGAACATAATCCATACATTTTAATTTGCTTATCTATCAACGGTTTTAGTTCTTTAACTTGATTATACAAGCATGTTACCGAAATTCATACTTGTTGGAATAATTCTACAATTTCATCAAATAGGTAAAAAGTTATTTATAAAGAAAATGATCTGATATCACCTTTTTTTTTTTGTTTTTATGTTTGGTTTAGGTATGAATAAGTCAATGTTACTGTCAAGTTACCAAAAATTGAACCTCACAAATACATTAAAAGCAAATCCAATTATTAAAAATTCCAGGTATCAAAATTTTTTATATACATCAGAAAATGTCTAAATTTGTTGTTTTTGTAATAATAACTCGACTATCTACAAAAGGTAATATGATTAATTTTTAAAATTTATTTATACGAATTATGAATTTAAAAAAAAATGTCTTAGATTGTATTTAGTATATTTAGAAAGTCAAAAATTATTAAAAATTTGTTTAACTTACATTAAAATATCATTGAATCTATTTAGAACCTCTACAAATAAAAATGTATAAACGTTCCTTTGTTTACTTTTTTTTTTACTTGTCTCGAGAAAATTGCTTATCAATTTTAAAACAACTACCCCGAAGATGTTTAGTTTCCATTCAGAATATTTAAAATACGTATCGGTGCATCTATCTTTGAGTGATTTATTAGTTATAAGTCATAATTATTTTCAGTTATTCATTGTGTTTGCTGTTAAATTTTACTATAGTAATTATTGCGCCGAAAAGTTAAGATCAATAAATACGATTGTACTGAAAACGATTTAAACACAGAATTTTCTATTGATACAAATTACGGTTTCTTCATTATTGAATTGGAATATCATGAAATCGCTAATACTATATGGTCCAGTAAATTTTATTAAATTCTTGTAACGGCACACTTACCGTGAAGATATATTTTCTATCGTTAAAAATATAAGTGCATTGGTTATAATAATTTAACACAAGAGCAAGAATTTCAGTAATGGTTCATCATATCTACACGAGAATGAATGTTTTATCGCTCGATAATTATTAATTAATTTAAACTCATAATCATATTTTGATCTTAGCACATGTGGAAGATCTTTAATTTATGTATTTGTGCAGATATGACAATGGAATGATTTGACTATCATAGTAATTTCACATAAATCTCCCACATTTGCATACATTTTACCGTTTTTTTTTTAGTACGAAATGATCTTATTTTTATTTCTTCCACTGTATGAATCCGTAATAATTAATGTAAAAAGTTTATAAAATAAGTTTGTAACTAAAAAAAAAAAAAAATTAATGATCTTCGAATGATCACAGTTGACGCATGGACAGCTTTACAGTTTGTCCTGGATATAATTAAACAGTGATCAAAAAGTTTGTAAACCAATCAAAGGAAGAAACACTGTAACGTTTCGTCGAAATGACTATATCCCAGTATAACACAAAATTGTGTTTGACCATGTCTTTTTCGTTTGATGGTTTTAATAAAATTACTGTTATTAAAATAATTTCCAATTTCTTATAAAAACACAGATAAAAAAAAATAATAATAATAAAACACGTGATGATAAAACAAACACATTTCTCGTTTTACTCATAATCTGAAAAATGTAATTATTTCCTCTCGTATGGTCGGACACTCGATCGGTACAAAGATCATCAAGCCAAACGCGTTGTTCGAATTATTGAACTCGTTAATATAATTGGACTCATGCTCGAGCTTTTCTGGAAAACACTGGCGCTCGGGATCGACACACAGGTATTGGCCCTCAGCGGTAGATATATAGATCCTAACGAACACGTGGTATTAATATTTTTAGTTATCGAAACACGAATCGCCAGGCACAACGGTCGGAGATCATGGATGACAACGTTACCGACGATCGGTTTTACGGTGTACCCACCGTATGTCGGACAGTCGCGAAATAACATTATACGCGTCGCGCAAATAATAACGATATGCATTGCGGTCGGCCGAGTTGTGGTATTGATGTTCAGTTGATTCAATCGAGTTGTGTATTGAGAATACATGACGTCAACCGTAATGACTGGTTTAAACGGAACGTTTTGCTATTACATAATGTCCAGTGCCGGTGCGAAAACCCTGTCCGGTGCGTACATCCCAGATAGCAATCGAGTAATGATAATAATATTATATTATTATTTTTACGGTATAAAAATAATATTATAAAAATAATGTTATTATAACAACATAACTAGGCTTTTTACATAATATTTTTACAGTAATTATTTATTAATAATATTATAATATTTGTTATGTAGGATGCTAGTAATATTATTTAACAAATATAATAATAAGGTTTCTATAACTTATTATACATTAATATTTTGTAATTTTGAATACCTATACATTGCTTTGAATATCATTTATAAAATAAAATAATAAGTTAGTGTAACTAAGTATAACATAGTAGTTAATATTATAACTAGTTATACTATTAAGTCATACAATACCTGTAAGAATTATGCTATAATCAGTAATTAGCCAAAAACTCATTTTTAATTGGTGCGCTGGACCGTTTTAAAGCTTTACTAATATTTAAAATGTACAAATCTGTATATTAGTGCTATAGAATTGATTACATAAAATACTGATGAATTCGATCAACTACCCCTACTCACATTCCTATCATAGTCACATCTGCAATAGGTAAATGATTTTGATCAAAACAATCGGTTTTTCATCAATCGCCAAAAATAAAAACAATTTTCTATATTTTAATGCTCTATTCATTTATAATTTATAATATTATTATGTACAAATGTAATTAATAAAGAGTAATTCATTTTCATGGGACAAATAGCTATATATAATATATATTATAATACCTACGAATTTATTTTATATAATATAAAGATAAACCAGAGTATTATTTAGTGGTTTGATATTTTATTAGGTAATATTATAACCGTTGTAGTCGACAGTCGTATACAAAATATCTAAGAAATGTATTGAAGTCTGTTGTAATCGGTAAATCACTATTCACAAAACTGAAAACAGTATATTTATATCACTGAACAATGTTCTGTGTTTATATCGTGCCATGCGCGCTCGTCACTCCAACCCGCATTACATTGTTATTATTTTTCTAATAATAAATTAATTTTCTGCAACGAGCACACGGTCAACCGGTTTGTTTTATATTGATTGTGTATATTTATGTCTTGTGTGTTATATATATATATATATATATAATATCTCTAAAGGTTGAGTCGTCGATACGAACCGATATCGCTGTTTTTGAACACGTATAAATGATATTGTCGTTTATTGTCGGTTATCTTCGGCGATTATTTAGAGATTTGACGACTTAGTGAGTTAAAAGTTAATTTAATCTTTTTTCTATGATTCGACCTATCGACCTGCGCAAAACTTTTCCCTTGTGGAATAATATATTTAAAATAGTCGTTAACTTGTTAAGAATTTCAGAGGTAAGTGTGTTTATTATATAATTTTAAATATTTGATATGAATAATAGCATTATTATATTATATTTCTTGAGTACTTTGCTGAGTATTTTAAAATGGTGAAGATAGTAATTTTATATGTTCTTACATACGTACGAAATATAATTAAATATAAAAATATTGTATGTATTGTGTTAAAAATTGATGTTTATTATTAAATTTCCTATAGTATAATTATGTAAAAATTGTACTCGTGATTTTGTATGATAACTAGTATCACTAATAATTTAATTTAAAAATTAAATTCAGTTTTATATGTAGGTAGGTACCTACATATAATTTGAGAAAATTATTATACTTTAAAATAGTATTAAAAAGTGGCATAGGTTCCTAATAATTTATTAGATTACACATCTTTCTGTTCAAATTTTAATAGATGCTCAACTACTATGTCCACGATTCATATAGAACTAATAATCTTAGTAGAAAAAATCTATTATGCACATAAGTGTATGTTTTACTAATATTTTTAGAGAATATTACAAGCATGTATTTAAATTTGAAACTTTTGGTGGGTAGGTATAGGTACTGAATTTAGTTAATAACAGAAATTTAAATGACATGTTAGGGTTATGTACTTATTTACATAGATATATTTGTACATTTTAAATATCTTTGCTGATTATTAATAGTTGTATATAATTATTTTTTGTCTAATTAAATTGAATCTGATATCTGATATAAGTGTGCTGTATTGTGGTGATGTGGTCAATTGTTGCTTTCCGTGACAACTCTGTTGAGGTCGTACCATCAAAATGGTATGACAGTGGAGTCTGTGCATGGCCAAAAAGAAATTTAAGATTATGCATAGATCAACAATTATCACCAAATTCAAATGAATTTAGATATTTAAATGGCCGAAAATTAGGGAAAGATACAAGTACATTAAATAAATGTTATACAATATTTTAATTTGATGAATATAGGTACAATATAGTATATAGTTTTTCATTTCAAGAACTATTATCAAATAATGTATATAATCTTATTTATTATAAAAAATTGTATTGTAATTTTTTTCTATGTTCTATTTATAGATGATTATAATATTGCTCAAGAAAAAGCTAACATAGCCAAAACCACTTCACATTTGTCAAATAATGAATCTTATGATAATAGTATACAGAATAGCATAAAACTTAAACAAAAAAGAAAATTATGTCAGCCAGAAGTAACTAAAAAAAGCTTATGGAGCCCAGCCTCAAGTGACATTTTTGGTAAAATAATTTAAACTAATTGATCAAATATTTATATAAATTATAATTATTGTTTTTTTTTTTTTAATTTTAGATGATAGTGACACCGATCCACATTATACCATACCTAAAATCAACAAAGGTAATAAATTATCTGAATTTTGTACATTTATTACTTAGTAAACGTTAATCATTATAGTGGTTTTCTCTAAAATAATAAAAAATGTATTTATTCATTGTTTTAATAATTATTATTTTCATATTATATAAGGTTTGTAAAAGATACTTTTAAAATTTTATTTAAATACAGATACAAAAATATCCATTCAGAAACTATTCATAATACATTTAAAATACTTTTAAGAACAAATTTAAATGCTTTTTTCATTTTACCTACTTTTTATTTGTCAAAATTAATTTTATGTTTATTAATTTAAAATTTTAATGTTACGTTCATCTAAGTATTACAAGACATGTTTGTATCATTTATGAGTGAAAAAATATTAAAAATAAAATAGTTAATCTTTCAAAAAAAAAAATTGTAACGAATGACAAATAACTTGTTTGAATTTTAAAAAGTATTTCAAATATAAATATGTCAACACAGATTTAAAATACTTAATTCAAAAACTATTTAAAAAGTACTTTAAATGCATTTACTAAAATACTTTACAAGACTGTAATAATACACATTTCTGATTATAAAAACTGATAGTGCTTAATTTACTAGGTATAATCTTCTTTAATTTACGAATTATTACATTTTTTATTTCTAAATTTGATCCAACTTATGATTAATTATGATTATTAGTAGTTGATATTATTTACTATTAAATAGTGTAATATAATATTATTTAAACATAATTTAAAACACATTTCAGGCACATCACTATCTCCTCAAACAAATTCAAATACAACCCAAAACATGCCCTTAACATGGCCGAATTGCAATCCCAAAAAGAAGCTCGACTTTGATAAATATCTTAAAAATTCCAGTAAGTCAATCATTATTTTGTTGTATGTATTATAATTCCTTTAGTTTTAGTGACAAAAACCTATGTTTATTCTAATGTTATGATATTTGTATTATAGTTAGTAATTTATCATAAACTGTACTACATAGTACATATGTAATGTATAAATTATTCCGGCCTGTATAATAAATAAATATAAAATAAATACAAATATGTATTACAATATTCGATTGTGTAATTAAATATTAATAAAAATTAAATTGTAGATTTTAATTTCAGGTCAAACTAATCAAACACCTGATGATGACCAAACGACTACTGTAATACATACATTATCCTCTCCATTTAAAGTTACTAGCATCATAAATAATGCTACAAATAGTACTCCACAACAATCAAATGATAACACTGGTTTGTTTATATTATTATGTAGGTTTTCTATTTCATCAATTTATTATTTGTCTATTATTTTTTAGAAATTCTTGACAAACTAAACCGAAACATATTAAACATAAAATATGATGTGAAATCTTTGAATGAAAAAATCGATAAGCTGGAAGATCTAATAATGAATATAAGATCTAATTCATCTGTATTCACTAATGAAGATGACAATACCCATGATCAAGATTCATTTCAATATATTATCAACAAAAATTTACCTTTGGAAGACGAAGATTCTCTTCAAAGATTTGAAGATAAACTTTTAAACCAGGGCTATAGGACTCAAATGGTAAAAATGTAGATTTTAATTTTAAAAAAAAAAGTATTCAACTGTTATTCTTTAAAACTCAAGCTATTCTAAAACAAGTAAATAACTTTTTTAGGTTAATGAACTTAGTCGATATGTCCGTAATACCATAAGATCAATAATGCGTTATCTTTTCAAAAATGGTTTGTTACAAACATACAGCTATAAAGGGCAAAAGAAGAAGAAAATATTTTCAACATTAACAACGTGTTCCATTATATTTGGTAAAAAAAAAAAAAAAAAAAATTTGCTTTACTTTATTTAAAATAAATATATTAACATCAATAATGCTTATATTTTTAGATTCTGTGAAAAAAATGAAGAGATACCAGAAGTATGATAAAATCAATGTAGAACAATCAATCAAAATATTCATTGCTAGTGCTAAGTTTAGAAAAAACAAGCCTTGTCAAGAACAATCATCAGATATTTAATAATTTATGATTTAATAAAATAAAACTGAATTATAACAATGGTGGTACTCATGTTTGTAAATAAAAAATATATTTGTTTTCGTAAGGAACTCACAGAATGAATAATAAAGAGGATTCAAAAGAAAAAATAATAATTTCTTAGTTGTTACTTATTTGGTATCCTAAAATTACTTTTAACTATAGCTATTAATTTCTTATTGAACAAAAACTAATATTATAATATCATAAATGTTTATTTATAAATATTTTTTTTTTATGAAAAATTAATATCATATTATGAAGGTTAAAAAATATTTGACTAACAATAGTAAAATATTATTTATATATTGACCAAAATAAATTATTAATAAAATAATTTTAAATTCTTTTGAATTAAATATTTGATAAATAATCTTATAATAATGTTACATAATAATGTTATTATATTATTAATAAATTAATAGTTTATAAATATTACATAAATATTAATAATATAAGGTAACTTCAGTGGCCAACCATTATTTTATTGACATTATTATAACATTTTTGTAACTAATTTAATGGATGAAAAAAATGTTAATTTAATTATGTACAGTACACACAAAATATTTATATAATATCAAATAAATATTTTCTTGCTATACCACCCCGTTGCGCTGTATTGTACACACATTCCCTACGTATACGTACAAATCGTATTTGTTTTGTTTGAATTGCGACACGTAATAATGTCTTCGTACACATTATGGAAATCAGAAGCGTTGGGCAACGGACGCGATGGTGGAGTGACTTCATTGCGCGGGTTAGCACGTATTCGCTTGTCCGGCGGAAGTTTTCCGATAATCTTTATTTGTCGCACGAAAAAAATCTTTCATAGACGCTTTTGGCGACGTTGAACCTTACGTCTTATGTTTGAATAATAATTAGACCGTTTGAAAGCGTTCCATGCACCGGAACTCGTGCGCCGAGAGCCGTGCGAATTAACCTAGCTGAAACTTTTACCAGTAAACGATGTGATGGCATTCAAATAAACGGAGAACAGAAAAAAAAAAATCTAATGTTTTTACATTATTTTCAAACTCAAATTATTATAGACATGTGCATGTGAAATTATTCGATATCTAACAAGCCCAATAAAACCATTTATTATTTTAAAATATATTAAGTCATTTAGGCTAACCGTGTGACGTTAATAAGCTCGACTTGCCTGTACGCGTAACAGCTGATTGCATTACACAAAGAATCATCGATGAAATATATTTTATTTTCAATTTTTATTTTTTTTACTAAAGAAATGTTTAATTAATATTTATTTATCGTTCTTTAACCGCAAAAGTTACGTTAGTATAATATTATGAAAATAATATTTTCTTTGTACTGTCAATAACATTTTTTAATAATACTAAATAAATATCACTATTCTAATATCAATAAAATATAGGGTGTCCCAGCAAAAGCGCATATTTTAAAAACGTAATAACTTAGTAAAAAACCATCGACATTTCAAAAAAAAAAATAGAATTTTTTTAACCATAAACAACTCATATTTAATGATAAAAAATGATGTTGAGCAAATGTCTACCTTCGCGATCCCTACATGCAATAAGGCGATCGTTGAAATTGGTGATCACTTTCGCAAACACCTCTCTACCGATTCCGCCAATTATTCGCCTGATTTCTTCCATCAATTTTTGGATGAATTGCGAGTTATTTACATAAAAAAATTCGACGGTTTTTCTTATTAACATATCCAGAGAGATGGAAGTGGGCCTCGCACCGAAGATTATACTGCTGGTGAAGTCCGCGTCGGGTTGGCTCAAAATCCATTCTGCAAATAATCTTCTCTTGCCATGATCTGTTAGCTTCATTTCTTGTATCAACTGGATCTTACATAGACGCAAATGAAGTTTGTTTTTCGAAATTTGATGAACAGAACTTTGTGATATACCCACTTGCTGTGGACGACGGTGAACAGACTTATGCGGGCTTACTAGAGCACTGTCTTGCACTATGGCAACGTCTGCTGGCAATTGAATGTTCTTCTAAAGGGTGGCTTTGTTGTCCACAATTGAGACAGTTTTCCCGAATATATCTATTGAACGAGTTAAAGTCGATCGCAAAGGCGAATTGTTTCGTCCGAAGATCATCCGAAGCTTATGCAACGTTTCTGCGACACTATTCTCACTTGTAGTGCGTTTTCATGGTGTTTACGCATTATTCAATAGTGAACCTCTCCATGATGACGAATGCTAAGAATTCAGATGATTTGTGATAGAAAATGGGGGATGTTATAAGACAAGAAAAATATTGGAACAGGGCTATTAACCCAAAAACAAAAAAAATTACATAATTTTTAAAATGTGCGTTTTTGCTGAGACACCTTTTTATTTATATTTATTTAATAATTATTTTAATAATAATAATACTCTCCCATATGTATAGTATAAAAGTACTTACAGATAATATGAGTGCCTGAAACCTTAGAACATAAACTGTAATTTTCAAAGGCTCTTGATTGTAAGATAGATAAAAATATAACTCAATAAATATTATACCATAAATTTAATAATTAAAATCAATTTGTGAATATTACATTGTTATAATTATAAATTGTATTACACAACATAACAATTTGTTGATTATATAAAAAAAATATTGCAATAGTATGGTTTTAAAGCATGCATAAAATATAAATATAAATCAACAAAAAAAAAATTGGTACACGCTATATATTACACATTTATATTGGTAAAATATAATAATAATGAATCACAATAAATATAACAAAATAAAATAAATTATTGGATTAGCAATTTATTTATTCATTATTAGCTTTATTATAAGGCTTTTTTTCATTTAATTGATTTTTACTAAATTTCAAATACATTTGTTTCCTTATGATTATTTTATAATAAAAACCGTGTTCATTAATCAGATATGTGAAATAACAACAAATAAATGTGACATTTGTTTATCTTGAAGAGTTTTCGTTTAAATCGATATGCCACACCACATCTATTGACCATGGAGACTTAAGCGTAAAAAATGTGCGACAAGCCCTAATTCGATGTCACATATCGATTCATATAAAAAATATGCAAGAAATCTCTTATAAGTATTAATTTTTAGATTAGAAATAATGTTCTAAAGATAATTAGATAAAATCCAGGTTTTGAATATAGAAAAATAATTTCAAAAGATTCTTCATTTGACTGCTTCGAAAAGTACATGTATACTATTTTCCTCAACTATTTTAGATACACCCTGTATTAAATTATAAAATATTATACTATGAACTATGTTACATAATTTTCAATTATATTTTATCATCACTTTTTATCACTCAAACCTATTAACTATATTTTGATAAATAATACTACGAAGCTTTTAAAGGATTAGTATTAAAAACAACAAAGACAAATCATAGGAAATCAATTATAAAAACTAATCGAAAAACTATACCAAACATATTACTATTTTCTAAGATAATTTTAAGAAACTTCAAATACAATTTCTTTAAAATATACTTATTGTGTCAAATTTTATATAAGTTTTACTACTTATGTTTAATCCATTTTTGATCAGGTTTTGATATTTTTAATGCTCTAGGATGAATGAAACATAATAAAATAAAAATCTACCGCTGTGATAATACAATATTGATTTTAGAGAAAATTTAACTTAATAAAACATAAATTAAATGCAAAAATGTGGTAAATAGATAAGACTATATTTATGTTACATTATTTTATACTTTTCTTATTGCATAATCGTATGTATTATTTATTTCAACTACAATGCCCCTAAACGGAATTTATCATATTAATTAAAAAAATGGACTACAATCTCTAAAATTTGTTCTCAGATCATGAAAATAGTCATCATGGATTTCCAAAGAATATTATTAATTTTTAGTGGTTAAATAATTTTCTCGCGTGCTTCAAATTATTTTTGATGAAACTAGTTAACAGTAATTAATAAATTATTATAAAAAAAAAAAAAAAAAAAACCACCATAGAGGAATTAAAATTTGGAAAAAGTAATGATTAGACGTATAATAAATATATTTTTCTACAATCGATCCACCGTGTACCCATTTGTACAAAAGATTAATTTAATTAAAGATGTTTCGATTTTATTTAGTTTTTATAGTTAAAAATTGAGAAATACACGAATTATGGACATGAAACCGTGAAATCCCACACGAATTCCTTTCGAGTAATAAAATATGATACTAAATAGCCATATATTATTTTAGCTGAGTTATGGTTTTCAACATGGATATGCTTTCTAATATTTTTAATCTCAAACAATATAAATTTCTTCACCACATTTACTGTTAACCAAAGTAAATTATAAAAAAAAAAATAAAAATAAATACGCCTAGCGGTTTTAATGAACATTTTCTCCAATCAAGCTTGTCCACCACAGTTATTGGATTTAGTTTTGTTGTAAAAACAAAATACAACGCTATAAAAACGGAGACTTACCAAAATTAAGTGTTTAACAACAGATGTCCGTCTATTAGATTAGTGAACTTCTGTGCATTCGGAAGAGGGAAGAGGAAATAAATATTTTTTCACATAAAATGTCAATATTTTTTTTGATCCTGTACCGTTTTGTACCAAACCGAAACACTTTAAGCAGTATAAACTGTATCGTGTACGAGTGAAATACATATATATATTTTACGTAAAACTTTTATTTTTTTGACATCCTGCAGGAAATTAATAAAAAGCTGTTCAAGTTTCTTTTTTTTTTTTTTTTGCAATAGCACAATTTCGTTTTGAATAAATATGTGAATCTCAATGTGTCCGTTTCATTTCTAATGGCGAAAAAATCGAAACTGTTTATAAACGGATATTTATTTTTTAATTTATCATACACTGGCATTACACTGGATCAAGCTATTGCATTATTTAGTTTTATCGATTATAACTATTATTATTAAATCTTGCTTATCTAAACATAATATTATTTATCATTATTACTAATGCTGATCGAGAACGGTTAGTATATATATATGCAAAATACATCTCGTTATTCGTCCATTCTCTGAAGTATCTGGTTAATATACAAGCCATAATGCATTTTTCCAGAACAAGAAAAATATAATATTTCTACGTAAAG